ATCAGATGTAGTTTCTTCCTCTTCCACTCTCACAAAGGAAGAAGTGATGCTTGGAACCATCTGATCCTGGTAGCGCCGAGCAACCGGAAGGGGATTGTGCCTAACCGGTTCATGAGTTTCCTCCATTTGCATGTCTTGAGGAAAAGCAGCAGGAACTGATTCAGAAGAGTCTCCAAGTCCTTCCTCAGTCCCATTTTCCATTGCAGCTCTTGAAGCTACTTCTAGTTGCCACATTTCTGATAGTGCCTCTTGTAGTCTGGTTTTTGCTGCATCTATTCCCACAATTGGAAGAGGATAATTCGATCCTAGCTCAATTCCAGCAGCTTGTAGCACTGATTCTGGTGCATTCCAAGGATGATGTATCCACTCAGTAGGCAATCTTGCAAGTTCTGGAAGCCAGCGTCGTACATATTCTCCATGGGGGTCAAATTTGTAGCCCTCAAACTACAAAATCCAACAACTAAAATGAGTGTATTTTTCACAAGAAAATCTATCAATTTTCGGCATTCAAATCGCTGACAGTAGGATATAACTCAAAATGTCAATACCAATGTTAATAACCACAAACGAGGAACAAAGGCAGGAATCAATCTATACAAAATTAAATTTGCAAGAAAAAGACCCTCGTAAATCTTGTGAAATTATGAACTTATGTTTGATCATATATCAAAACAAATTCGCACCATGATTTCTGGAAGCAAGAAATAGTTACTTTTGCGGTGAACTCACCATGATTTTGTACCTACCATGGTTTTCTAGCACCAAAGACACTAGTATAAGAAGACAGGGCACATGCAAAAGGATGATCATAAATCCAAAGTAGGTTTTAGAGAAAAGTAACAGCACCTGTGGATTATCTATTCGGTCAAATTCACGACCATCAGGTAGAGTACCAGATATGTACTGCCAACCAAGTGCATCACTCTCAAGATCTGCATCCAAAAGGGTATCCCAGAAGTACTTCATTCCCCATCTCCAAGGAAGCTGCAGAACCTTCACAAAGAAACTAGAAACCACAACACGTATCCGATCATGCAGCCAACCAGTGGCCCACAACTCCCTCATCCCAGCATCCACCAAAGGGTACCCAGTTCTGCCTTGTCTCCATGCCTTAAAATAGCCTTCATTCACAACCCAAGGAAAGAACTTAAGGTGGCCTAGAAGAGGCCTTTCATGACTGTAGGGGTGGTTGAAACTAATGTACCTTGAATACTCTCTAAGACCTACAGATTTGAGGAACAAGTTCACGCTTTCTTCACCCGCTATGTTCCCTTCGTTGGCCCATAAGACTTGTTTGATGCGGACAAGATGGAAGACCTTCTTCACACTCAACTCGCCAAAATGTAAATGGGGTGAGAGGAGTGAGGTAGTGGCGCTGTCAGCTTTCCTGCGATTTTTTGAGTACTCGATCAGTGGACCATTTATGAATGCGGTTAATGCCTTGTTTGCATTGCTCCACCCAGGTGACCATGCTCGAGCTAGAAGTGCATTGCTTGCCTTCTCCGCTTCATTTTCAAACACCAATGTATCACTTGGGCACCTCGATACATCACCTGAAATTAAATAAGAGAACCTTTCTGGAGAACTGCTAATTTTGATTAAGGCATAAACACAAATGCTTTACGAGAAAATCTAGAATTCCTAGACAAGGTGAGGGCAGTAGATCACATAAGAACATCAACAACATAGGACCAAATTGCTTTGAATTATAGCAAGTGAATCCTAAAAACTTATACAAAGGAGATAGTCTTATAAAGGACAAATATAAGGGGAAACTAGAAACCATATGGAGACATTAGACGAGAAAACAGTACATTAAACTTGTAATGTAATGAATTTGAGAAAAAATCTCCTTTGCTCCACTAAATTTGTTATTACAAAGAGACAAATAGGATGATTTTACCAAGAGCAATGGGGTGAAATTTTAACTACATGATACTTTTCACGTCTACACCGAACAGATAAAACCATACAATTAAATACTTCACGTTCTTTACACCTTTTTGCTATGTTAAATAGCACATTGTTTCTTCTCCAATTTAGATAAATTTCAGTAATGAACAAGGAGCACAGATTCAACATTATGCAATTGGCAACTATTCTACATTAGGCGAAGGAGAGAGGTGAACAAAAGTATACCTGGTATTATCCTTTTAGGTGGGAGAAGAGGTGACTCGGGGTCATAAGGCATGCTAAGATATCTTTCCCAAAAAGCAGCAAAAGTTGTGAACGGTCGTCCATGTGCATCATTCACATCCCATGGTTCATATAGTAAATCCGCATTGAAGGAACGTACTGTTACACCCTGAGCATTCAGAACCTCTTTTGCTCGGTGATCCCTGATAAGTGACAGGGGATCTGCAACGCAGCAAATCACAAGTAACATTTCACAAACAAGAACTCAATGAAGTAGAAATAGACCATTTAACTGTATTTTTGAGACTGTCATGAAGCAAGCACCAAAAGATGACTAGAAATGACAAAGCAATTTGTACGGAGGAGCAATCACAGACAACCATGTAAGTGGGGTAAGCAAATCAATTCCGTACATTGCCACCCGAATTTGATATAACTTAGGATCCTAAAATCCAAAATCTGGGCATCCTAGCTAATTGTGTTAGGATCCCTCCTTAATTGGAGAGGTTCTAGAAAATTCTAGAACTTTCTAGAGAAGTATAGAATTTTCTAGAACATTCTAGAGAATCCTAGAGAATTGTAGAATTCTCTAGAAGTTTGTGGAATAGTGTGGAATCCTCTGGAACATTCTAGAGATGTGTGGAGCCTTCCGGAACCTTATGGAAGAGTATAGAAGGATATAGAAGGGAGTAGAGATTCCTGGAATGTGTGGAACATTCTAGAGAACCAATCTCAACCCTTGATCCCCACCATTCATTCTGAAGGTGGAGTAGTATAAATAGGGGTAGGAGGCTTCATTCCTATCCAATCCAAGCCAAGAGTGAATCCACTTCTTAGAGTGAGAAAGTAAGAAAGCCTCTTTGTGAGAGAAGAGAGATAGTCTCAAGTTTTGAGTGTGCCACCATAGAGTGAGTCTATTTTGTAATTACATTCTTGTAATCCTACTATTCTTTTGCATAGTGGAAGAATCTCCATATTGGAAAATTTAACTCGTGTGCTCCCATTACTACCTTTAATTTCTAAGTGCCTATCTTAACTTCACGAAGCGGGAAAGTCCGAGTTTTCCCAACAGTGGTATCAAGAGCCAGGTTCATCAAAAGTTGTCATTAGCTCGTGCAGTTCAAGATGGAGGACAACGTTGCTCATGATGGAGACATGTTCAAGCTTACTGCCAATAATTATTCATATTGGAAGCCAATGATGGAGGATCATTTATACTGCAAGGATTTGCATGAGCCCATCATCTATAAAGAGAAGGTGGAAGGCAAGAGCGATGCTCAGTGGGAGCTATTGAATCGGAAGGCCGTTGCTATGATCCGTAAGTACATCGACAAATCTCTCTTTGAGCATGTTTCTACATACACAAATGCTTATGAATTATGGGCAAAACTTGAGTCCATGATTCAAAAGAAAACACCTCGTAACAAAGCCAATTTAGTTCGTCGATTGGTGAAGCTGGAGTATAAGGATGGTCATAGTATGATTGAGCACTTGAATAACTTCAAGGGGCTTGTAAATCAATTAACCAAAATTGAGATGAAGATTGATGATGAGTTGCAAGCCCTTCTACTCCTTAGTTCCTTACCGGAAAGTTGGGATACGCTAGTAGTCACACTTAGTAACTCTGCTCCCGAAGGAAAGCTCACTATGGATGCTGTTAGTGATAGCCTTCTTGGAGAAGAATCGAGGAGAATGGAACGAGGTGAGTCTATCCATCCCGAGGCTAATATCATTGAAAACCGGGGAAAGAATGAGACTCGTGGACGTAGTAAGAGCCGAGATCAGTATCAATCTCGAGGTAGATCCAAATCACGCTCGAAGATTACATGCTATTACTGTGGAAGAATGGGTCATAGGAAAATGGAGTGTCGGTCTTTCAAGAGAGATCAGAAGGCAGGTACTGTCAAGCCAGACCAAGTCATCCCAATGAAGAAGCAAGAAGAAAAGACTACCACTGCCGTAGCATCTAAAGAAGATATGTTATATATCATTAGAGAAGGTAACATCCTAAACATTGCTTATGATGATAGCTCTTGGATTGTGGATTCTGGTGCTTCCTTCCATGTTACTCCTCATGGAAGTTTCTTCTCATCCTACCAAAGTGGTGACTTTGGTACCGTTCAAATGGGAAATCAAGATAGAAGCAAGATCGTCGGGATAGGAGACATCATCCTGACAACGAGCACCGGATGTAGGCTAGTCTTGAAAGATGTGAGGCATGTCCCGGCCATGCGCCTCAATCTTATCTCTGCTGGAAAGTTAGATGATGCTGGTCTGATGAATTACTTTGGTGAAGGAAAGTGGAATGTACCGGTGGATACCCCTTCGGTCACGCAATAGGCCGAGAGGGGTACCCGAACCGGAGGGCCACACCATATAGCACCCCCTCGGTCAGACAATAGGCCGAGAGGGGGGCCCGAACCGAAGAGTAATACCACGTGGCACCCCCTCGGTCAGACGATAGGCCGAGAGGGGGGCCCAAACCGATGAACCACAGCTCCCCCCCTCGGCACCATACCTAGTCGAACACCCCCTCGGCCTCAGGCTAGGCCGAACACTCTTCTGGTCCCTTGGGAAAGACCCAAAGAATAGTAGTTACTCAACAACGTCCTTTCGACCCCAAGCTTGGCCGAACACCCCTTCGGCCCCAAGCTTGGCCGAACACCCCCTTCGGCCCCAAGCTTGACCGAACACTTCTTCGGTCCCAAGCTTGACCGAACACCCCTTCGGCCTTATGCCTAGCCGAAAGCATAGTGAAAAACCCATGGTGAACACGTGGCAAATCAAACACTGGTGAACACGTGGCAAACCAGATACCTACTAAGATACTAATCACCAGGCCAAATTAAGACAGGGTTAAGGTTAATTCACGTGTTACCCGCATCCCAAGAATGAAGGCCCACCAGGCCCAAACATGTCACTATAAATATACAGGTGATATGACATAAATGAGGTACGTGACTATTCCCACTAGCACATTTATTGCTCTAAGCCGAACACTGACTTGATCGTCGGAGTGCCTTTGCAGGTACCCTCCCCACCATTCGGAGTTAGTGATTCAGTCGGCACGGAAGACTCAGAAAGACTGGAAGACAGCTAAGCAAGGAGTAAGGAGACAAGTGTTCTGCACCCGGAACATAATTTTATAGTTAAAAGGCTTTAAAAGAATACATGTTTAATTTTGTTGTTTGTCTTTATAATTTATCAAATGTGAAATTTTATGTTTTTGTTTGGATAAAGAAAAAAAGTGTAGAGTAAAGAAGAAGATAAACTCAAAAGAAATAATAAAAAAGAAGGATAATGAGTAAAAATTGAATAACTTTTTAAGATATTTGAATTGAAAGAATAAAAAATATATATAAAAAAAATGAAAAGTTATATATATATATATATATAACTAGAAGTGAATGGCTGGTACGCATCACCTAGCGCGTGCCCG